GCAGAATCCCCTGCCTTGCCCTGCTGCCCACGGGGCTTTGGATGCAGCCTGGGACATGTTTGGCTTTCTGGGCTATGAGTGTCATTGCTGGGTTCTGTCCAGCCGCTCCTCCACTGGCTTCCCCCAAGTCGTTCTTGTCAGGGGACGTTTCTATCTGAGAGCAGCTTGAGCTGACTCCTGACATAGTGTTGCTGGGTTGATGGCAGATGATCTTGAAGGTCTTGTCTGTGAAAAACAAAGTTCACTCTCTAGAATTTTTAGAAGTTTAATAAGGGAATAAAAGGGACAATGTCCAGTGCTGGTGTTTCTGGCTATTGGCCAAAGAACACACAGGTAGACTGAGACAGTGTTTTCTAGATACTGTTACATTACTGAGGTACATACATATTCATGTGTTTCAAACGTTTTTGTGAGCTTTTTGATATTTCAGGAACTCTTGTTTGGTTTTTGCACTGATTTATCTGCAGGATATCCTGTGGGTCAGGTCAATATATTTTATTTCTTCTTGTGTTTCCATCCTGTTGTTTCACACTCCCTGATAAGGAGTTAACAAATCCTTCTCCCTTGCTCTGGTTTGTGTCACTGTTATCACTTGGAAAGGTTGGTTGGATATGGGGGAAACAACATAATCGCCTTACACCATTCCCTTAGTTACACAGGAGCATTTTAACATTTTGTGTTTTGCTAAGGCCTGGGATATAAACATCATCACACCACTATTTCTACAAGCTACATGGTGCATACATAGATATATTCATCACATGACTATTTCTATAATCTACATGGTGCAAAACTAATAGATTGTGTTATACTAATACACAGCTAAAGGGAGTTACAAATTGTACCATATCCAAATACTTATGATCAATAACAACATGTAAAAGCTAATACATAAATGCGAAAGCATTATATTGTCATTTTATACATCTTCCAACCTTGATGATTTTATACATCTTCCAACCTTGATGATTCTGTGATTCAGTAATGCAGGCAAGATGCCTCACCCTCATACAGGCATTTTAAACTGACATTCAGAAAGTGTCCAGTTAAATTCCTTATGTCTGACATAGAGTTGTGTGGTCATCAAAATGCATGCAATAAACAACAGAAAGGTAAAGAAAATAGGTTCATGTTCCACTTTTGTCTCAGCCTCACAACACAAATTTTGTATACTCGAAAAATATTTCTAAAATGCAGCTGCATTTTCTAAAAAAAAATTTAAAAAAATAATAAAAAGATAACATTATGTCTAGTTCCCACTTAATTCTCCTTTATTTGCTCACAAAGTTTGGTTTTTTGCCACAACATAAAGTAAGAAACTATCCTTGTGGATACAACTGCCAAGTAACTAGGAGTTGTGTGCAAAAGTTTACAGCATTAAACTCTTTTTTAATTTCTTTTTTTTTTCATTTTTCTTGGCATCTAATCATGCTCCAATTGCAGCAAAGAGAATGGCATGCCAAGCACCAAGGCTCTCCTGTGCTCCCTGAACAGCTCTTGACCAAGAGTGTACCCAGAAACCACGTTTCTGATTAATAGCTTAATTAATTCATTAATTAATAATTCATTATTATTAGCTTAATAGCTAATGAATTAACACAAGTTACATGTCACTGAATGCAATACAGGCTGTTAATCCAAGTATGTTGGATTTACTGTAAAACAAGCAAAAATAAGTATAATAGATTGTTTTTGTGGAATAATAATATATATTTTAACTGCATCTTGGTATGTTTTCCCTTACTCACTGGGAATAGTTCACATATAGCAATTGCAACTTTAATGTGTCAAATATTATAGTGTAAGTATAGTCTTTGGTCTTTCTTACTCTAAAACATTCACTTAATGAAGCTGCAGCTTTCCATGCTTATTTTCACCTTTAAGCTAGCTTGGTTTTGCCTCAAAAGTCTAAGCAATGTTCCTGTATCTCTGCACTGTGAGACCAGAACAATATACACAGTTTCAATCAATATACACACACATATATATAAACAAACAGCACAACAGGTTTTGGACCTCAGATTTAACCATGAGAATTATCATTACCATTCAGGCAAGTACAGCATGTACTTGGCATAGAAGTGTGCAGCCCCCACAGGCAAAGTGCCTTTTGAGCTGCATGTTTTGGGAAATGAGCCCAGGGATGTTTTTGTTTTGGTGTTTACTAGCTTCCCAATGAAGCCAGGCTTACAAACTCATCCTCTGTATATTTGTGGGTTTTTTTACTAATTTCAGTCAAATTTGATGGGGAGAAAGAGGCATTAAGAACTGCATTTTTCATTAAGCTTGTGCAAGAAGTGGTGTGCTTAAAGGAAGTCAGGTTATTAATACTATAATTTCAGGAAAAGCTGTATCATGAGCTCAGGTCTTGTTGGACACCAGAAAATCCAGAAAAAGAGAAGCTGCTCTACATAAGCTACCCACCAGAAGTGCTTTAGTCATAGCTCACACTGTATTAGGCACTACAGGATTAATTCTTCAACCAAGATTCTTCTAAGACATGAATATGTACATATCTAGTAAGGTACAAAATCAGTTCCCACATGATTAGAGCTTTCACAAGAGTCTGTGTGTCTTTCCCTCACTACCTTTCATTTCTATTCAGTTTAAAGACCAGTCATAGGATCCCAAGTGACTGAAACCTATAATTCTGCCCTTAGTATACATTTAAGATATATAGGCTGTGAATCTTGGCAGTGCTTGAAGTTCTTCCCTACTTTGAGTAGCTGGCAATTGACTGGAGATTTTTACATGTGAAGTAAAACACAGTGTGGGAGTTCCTCAGTGAAGTGTAAAGGAAAGTATGACCATGGGTGGAAATGCAATACTTCACATTTTATTTTAAATTTACTGCCCACAGTAGTGACATAAACACTAAATGGAAGCAAATTGGTGATTGCCTCTTGAAGAGTTGAGACTGTTGTGGAATTGGAGGAAATGAAAACTCATTGTTGGATCTGGAAGAAAAGCACTGCCTTGTGGAAAGGAGAAAGAGGCAAGTTTTATTTTATTAGTTTTCTATTTTTAAAGTTATGTAAGGTTATTTGCTCTTTTATTTGGCCAGAGTTTTATAGTGGCTACAGTCACTTCCAAGTTTCCTTGTAAGAGAAAATGTACCAAAGGTATATGATGTGTGCTGGATCAAAGCTGTCTTTTAAGGGTTTTGCATAGGGTTTTGCAGCTTCAGGGCCACACTGAGAAACTCTGTCATACATCATTCAATAATAAAAGTAGAAGCAAGGGACTCTCCAGATGCTGCTTAGAGGAGATTATGAAAAGAGCAAGTTCATAAAGATCCATTTTTACATAATGCTACTCCTACTTCATGTTTGATTCCTTTGACTTACTTTATACAAAATTGTAATGTTGGCACACAGCAAGGTAAGGTTTTTTTGACAATTACTGCATTAAAGAAACTGATAGGGTTTTTTTTATTTCAACCTTCTGCATCTCTGTAAATCTTCAAATAAAACATTATCCCTGCCTACTCTAAAATTACCAATTCCTGGATCAAATTTAGCAATTAATGTCCACCTGAGCTAATGGTAGAACTGGGCACACACAGCCAGTAAAAGAGAATGTATGTGAAGAGAGTATTAAAGGGCTTTTGGACTTTGAAGAGATTTTAGGGAAAAGCATTTAATTAGACTAAAGTACTTCCATGCAATTCACAGTCCTAATATTACCTGAACCATACTTAAACTGAGCTTGCTCAAATTCTGTTGTCAGAGACTTCCTGCCCTTCCAAGTCTTTAGGTATGCAGGCAGTATATAATCTCCTAGAGTGTAAATTTATCACTGTTGTCTTCCTAACTGCCTGTCTTCCTGATGCCTGTTTATACATTTTTATTCCATGGATTACTAATAGCTCAAAATCAGCCAGAAAGAAATTTAACTTGTCACTAAGAAGGAATTATATGTTTTTCTCCCTTAAGCCTAAAGAAAATCTTTGAACTGAAACCCACACACCTCAAATGCTTCCTAAAAATCTCTGACAGCTAAGTGGAGTATCTGGAAGTTTTCCACTCCCTTCCTCATAGTGCACTGAGATTGATGCTAAGCCTTCATATCCTTAATATCTATTTTTTAAATTTTAATTGTATGTTACTAATGGTATTGTTACAAATGACGATACAGTATTGGTTTTCACTTTTATGTATTTGCTTTAGCATATTATTATTAATCACAAAGATTTTGATATGGTACAATTTATATTTACTTTTAACTGCCTTTGGTATAGTATAATCTGTAAATTTCTGTATATACTGTATAGTTTATATAAACAGTAGGGTGATAAATATATCTTAGACCATAGCATAATATTAAAATAAACACTATGTGATGTTAAAATGCTTTTTTCCTGTAACTCAGAGAATGGTGTTAAATAATTAGGTGATTCCCTGCATTTGTGGACTATCTTATCTGAAAGACAAGATGATGGTGACAAAAAACAGAACACCGAAAAAAATAATTTATTGATTCCTTGTCATCAGGGAGTGTAAAAACAGGATGGAACCAGAAGAAGAAATGAAATGTATTGATCTAATCAACAGGATGGCATGCAGACAAGTGAAAGGTAAAAACCAAGCAAGAAAATCCCTGGAACATCTAAACTCACAAGAATGTTTGAAAAATACATAGAACTCATTAAATGTATGTACCCCTGTAATGTAACAGTATATCGAGAACATTGTTTTAGCTAAGGATGTCTCTTCTGGCCGATCGCCGAAACACCCCAGCGCTAGAAATTTGTCCCTTTTTGCCCGTTGTTAAACTTTTTAAAATTCTAAAGAGTAAACTTTTGCTTCTCACGGCACTGAAAATGGTTTTCAAAGATACGTAGCTGGGACACCCAACTCCTTTTTAAAACACACAGGTGTCACTAGAGAGCCGGAGCCGTGGGTTAGCGGTGAATGACCTCAGCATACCCCACTTCCGAAACGCCCCTGACCGAATGTTAGAGCAGCGGTAGAACTGTTTCAGGCTGGGACATCCCGCACCTCCGTGACCGCTCCAGCGCCGGGCGCTCTCCGCTCCCGCTGTGCCGCTCGCCCCGTCGGGCCCGGCCTGCGCTC